ACACCGCACCAGTTTGTGCTGCACTAATAAACCACACAACAAAGAAACTGATGAATAGCAACGAAATTAAAGCACAAGGGAGCAGTGCAGTAGATGTGGCATGCTTTATATTGCAGAAACTGGAAGATTTCATAGGAAAAGGTTTGCATGGTAAGCATTGGCGAGGGTGGGAGCCATAAGGACGTCTGCGAGGCTAGCCTACAATGTAGCAGCAGAAACACGTTTCGTGTACCCAGCAGAAACACGTTTCGTAGGCTACTGCGAGGCAGGCTAGGTAAGCCATCGGCGTGCAGTCAACCTCATTAGCGACGATGCCATAAACAGCCTGTTGCCAGCCTGGAGCCCTCTCTGTCCAATTTCTGCGAAGGTAATGAGACACTACGGAATCGGTGGTATAGTAGACAAAAACAGTCAGTTTCCATCCAAAGGAATGGTATTGGACGTAAATAATCATGCGCACCACCCGGGCATCTATAAGAATGGGCGGTGAAACGCCAGTGAAGCAGCTGAAACATGTGTGATGCGCTTTAGGCCTGGGGCCTAGCGGGCACAACAAGGAGTTCTCGCAGAAAACAAAAAAATTAAAATTTTCAACAGGCTTCATTAAAAATATTGTAACTTGGCAGTTTTTGACGCGATGTCCGAGATACCTTTTTCTTGTGCTACACAGATCATTAGCTACCGCTGGAGTGCCGAAAAAATGTTTCTGTAACGTTAATCACCGAAATATTTCAACTTCAGAACTATAAACTTGCTTGTCAACTTCGTCGGTTTTTACGGCAAATATTTTGATTTTTTTTCAGCGAGGAAATGGCCAAATGGTATTAAACTTTAGAGTTGTGATGTACATGTTAAAATTTATTATGCAAGATTTCATCGTGTAGTTTTTTTACCCTTTTTTGCAATCGTTTATAGAATTTAACCTATTCACTTTTTTTAACAACACAAGTTAAAACTGCTTTCGCAACTACGAGATCTAAAAATACCTATGTAAAAACCTTGAAATCATATTTTTTGTTCACTTTATGTGCCTATCTGAAAGACAAGATATATGTTTTCCTTGATGTGTATATATTTAGACATTTAATATGCATATGTGAGTAATAATACAAGAGAATGTTATCTTACTTGGCAGCAATCTTCGAAATTTTTCACATGAAATTTTTCCATAAAAAATTGAGATGCTTGCTGTGGCCCAAGAAGCTGGAAAAATTGCACAATGACTGCCTTAACAAATAGGATCCATTTGACCTGGGTACGGTAGCACAACTTTTTTACCCTTTTTCACAATTTTCGCTCGAAGTCCACAACCCAAAAACTAAAATGGTCTTTACAGAATTTAAAAGTGCTCAGGGGAATGGGACGAGTAAACAAAAAACGAAAGGCGGGAAAAATAAACTTATGAATATGCAAAACAATACGCAAAACTGATCTGAATTACTGAATACACAAATGTACCAAGAAAAATACGAAACCAAACAAACCATAAAGTAAACAAACCATATCATTTAATTACTTAGTATTGTTCAAATATACTATTAATATAACAAAAAGTATATATGTTTTGGAGTAAAAACATATTTTACCACAGCTAATGCCGAAATGCAAAATTCACTAATTCATTCTTTGTGGCAAACTTGAAATTTGCTTTAATATAGTACGCGGACATGACGAGAAAACCGCTACAAAACTGCCATTTGAACTGATGGCAATTTCCAATTCTTCCTCGCTCAAGCAGCCCGCCATCTTGAAACACGAAAATGCAATGAAACTGCTTTCGAACAACGTGGGGGGTCGCACATCACACATGTTTCAAAGCTTTCACTGGCCATTTATAATTATAAGTGAATTATTAATAATAAATAATAATGATTATTAATAATTATTAATAATTATTAATAATATTAATTATTTAAATTAGTATAGGTAATCATGCGATATTGCTCGTACAATTAGGGATTAATAGTACTCGTGATGTTTGGAAATTTTGCCAAATTGGACTCGCCTCCAATTGGATACTTCTCAATGTCAACATCATATTCTCTCGCCAAAGCCCAGTCCTGCCAGACTTTCAACCAAAATTTGGTGCTTTTGTTCGTATTTTCATTTAGTTCTTTTGTTAAAGCAAAATTTGGTGCTTTTGTTCGTATTTTCATCTAGTTCCTCTTGGGCAATTTCATTTCACATTTGTATTTAAAAATACCTTTCCGCCATTTTGTTTGTTTTGAAAAAATCATTAATTGTACTGCAGTACAATTAATGAAATAATTGTACTCCTCTCAACAAATCAGCATCCAGTAATTTTATCATGCTAATAATAAATAATTATATAATTTTATAATTTCTTATAGACGCCCTGGCACCACTCGAAGCGAAAAAAGGTTTTGGCTAGAGTCTGTGGGCAGAAGATGGTCGTAACCTGATTTGTTATCACAAAACTAGGCTATGTCTGGTAAGAACTGGGGAGGACATATAAAGGTAGACCACGAAGTGTATCCAACTTAAAAGAACGGCTTACGATCCAGAGGTTGAGGAACAGGTTATCGTTGCATTAAAATGGCATAACAAGATGTGGATGTTCTACTTCACCGACTTTAACCCAAAGAAAATGGCTCCAGATGCGAAGCGTCGTAGAATTGTATCGCAGATAAAATTGAACAAAAGGAATGCACGACGGATGATTGTGAAACATTCTGGCAGGAGGAATATTGGAGTCAAACCCGGTCATGCACCTTTAAACCCTCCTTTGAAGTGGGAGAAATATTTGGAAACATCGAGTCTGTTGATGATCCAATCCAAAACTTCAATGCATAGTAGCATAGATGCTCAATTACCAAAAAAAGTTCCCAAGCAAAAAAATTTGCTCAATACCGAGAAAATAGGTGATCATTGATCGACAACAATGATAATAGGGGCATTTATACGGAACAAAATAAGACGCGACTTACATAAGACGCGACTTAAATAAGACGCGAGTTTGTCGTATAAAAGGTACAAAATTCTTATGTAAGACGCGTCTTGGATAAGACGCGTCTTACATAAGAACAGGCCTTTTAGCTGTTCTTATCTAAGTCGCGTCTTAAATAAGAAATTTTGGACAAAAAGTTTAACTACACATGCCAGAAACTTGAAACAACTTAAAATTATTAGCCTTGCATATTAAAAAAAAACAACCGAAACAACATTATAGCTATAGCAAGTAAATAAGAATAAAGCCCTAGAGAACCATTTATGCGATAACTCCGCTTATTTAAGTCGCGTCTTATGTAAGTCGCGTCTTATTTTGTCTCGTATAAATGGCCCTAATGACAACATCGTTCCCGCCTTGAACTGTATTACCATCATTGACTACGAGCTGCCTAGAAACAGTTTCCTCTTGTGATCCTGTAGTCCCGTAGAATTTCTTCAACTGATTGTGGTGGACAATTCTTCGTTTTAGACCAACCTTATTAGACCCCACATACTTTTTCTATCACGCTTCCCCTAGGCGTTTAATAAGTTTCCATGGGCCCATCCACGGTTTGTTCAGCTTCATATATACATCATCCATTTTGGGTCATTGTGATCCTTCCACATTACCTTCTTTGTAAACATTTCCTCTCGCCCACCTATCGTAATAATGTTTCGGTGTTCTATGAGTTGACTCGAGCATTTCCTTGCAGCGTTCAATCAAAGCCTTAGTAAGCCTTTTCTTCTGTTGCATACTGTACTCAGTTTGAGAGTCATTCCTTCCTGTTTTATTACTCATGTATATATTTAGTCCCGCTATGCAAATTCAAAATTATTATCATTATTCATTTCTTTAGAAATTGGTTGTTTTTGATTCACAGTCAATGAACACGAAAATATTGGCATAGTGGGACTAAATCGTTGGGCTCTGCTACGCTACTGTGTATAAACGGTGGTGCTGTGGACTGCTGTATTGTATGCAAAACAAGTGAACGACACATATAAATCCCAATTGCATGTCATTAACGGTTCGGATCATATTCCTCTCTGATGCTCCATTTGATTCAGGTGGAAAGGTGTTGTTCGTGTATTCCAAATTTCTAGGAACGAGCACACCTCGCGGATAATTTCGGCAGTTAGATTCTTCCCTTAGTCATGAAGAAGTTGTTCAGGTGCCTCATGACTCATGTCGTGGGATCCAAGCATCAAAATCTTCCTTAGTAATTGTTTCTGCCTTCTGATTTCTTAGTGGAAATATATCTAACCACTTTGTAAAGTGGTTAACAATTACTAAACAAAAGCGGTATCCGCGCGAACTTTGGGCATATTCAACAATATCCATTGTAACCAATTCTCCAGGGTGGCTTGTAGAAATTGGTTTGAGTGAAGCTCTTTGGGTCGGTACCGGGTTCCTTCTACGCTGATACACTTCGCACTTTCTGCACCAATCCTCAATTTCAGATGATATATGTATTTTTCTTATAGTATGATAATACGGGGCACGCTCTTTGTGCGGTTATAAATTGCAATACTCCATTTAATACCAATGGAATGCCAGCTATATACAAGTGACGTCACACAAGTACATGACGTCAGGTTATTACATCCCTCCCTTGTTTTGAATGGAAGTTCGTCGGGCATTGTCTATATGAATTAAGTAATTTGAACTAATTAAAACCAATGATCTAAATTGAAATATATACAGTATCTAGTAATAAAACATAGTCAGTTTAAATATTGTTCGTGCTGATATTCAATATTTAAGCGTTCTGGAGGTCTCCTATTTTCTCTTGTGGGATAACGCCTAATTTCCGCAGGATGGTCCGGTGTTGGAATGTTGATCTCCTCATCGTCAAAAGGGTCTGCTGCATGATCTTGTTGATGTGTGGTGATAGTGATTTTCTAGAACTGCGAGCCGTTTCTTGTTATGTAGCTCGTTGCGTTTCTTGCCGTTATCATACTACCTCTGATCTTGACGATAGTGTATGCATGTTTGTTGTACGGTGATGATAGTTTGTTGATGCGTTTTTGACGAACGAGAATAGTGTCACCTTGCAACTTGAAAGCTGTGTGGGTTTGGTTTGGCTGCGGTATCAGCATACTCTTTCATCTTTCCCTTCTTTTTGAGATCGATATCGTCGAATTGGGATCGTGATTGGGACGTGGGGACTACTTCAGGTAACTTGACAGTCAATCTTCGTCCAAAGAGGAGCTCGGCACTGGATCGGAAACTCCTGTGGTGGAATGTGGCGTCGCACGGTAGTTTCTGAGGAGAATGAGTGAGAAACATTTCTTGCTTCCAATTCTTGTTTTCGAGGTGGGCAGCGCGGGTGTTTTCTGAATTGTTCGCATGAAACGTTCAGACTCAGAATTAGCTTTTGGCCACTCCGGTGTGATCTTTCGGGGTGAAACCCAATGTACTGCGCGAACTGGGCGAAAGAGTGACTTTGAAATCGAGTTCCGTTGTCAGACTTGATTTCTGCAGGAATGCCATG